AATCTATCTACATAATTACTAAATCATATTGTACCAGAGGTTAAACAGAAGAAAAAACAATAACGATACAATCCACCAAACCAAACGTCTACATATGAAGCTACGATATATTCAATGCAGACTAGTAGTGTAATGTGCAGGAAAAGAGAAAAAACATGGAATACAATTGTTACCAATTATTATGAATAAACAAGTTGACAAACACCCAAGAAGGAATCTATGCGAATGAGGTACATAATGTTGGAGATAATCTTTGGAATACACTAATATTAATCACAACAACAAGAACTATTGCAAAGGGAGAGACAGACTGTAAAACAACTCTAGAATTAGTCATCGTTTGGCTAAGTAAATCACTCAGATTACCGCCAAACTCCTTGCTTCAAAACATTAGCCAAAACACAAGTGTCTGCAAGCATGCATGGGCATGCACACGCGTATAGATGGTAACAAGACACCAGTAGTAAAAATCCTCCGTCTCTCTCTCTCTCTCTCTCTCTCTCTCTATATATATATATATATATATATATATATATATATATAAGTATTGACAACTAAACACGCACAGATGATGTATAACACCAATAGTAGCATACTGTAAATAACAAGTCTATCCCTACCCCAGTACAATGTATGTTTATAGTTTAACTACCTACTAACTGCATGTACAAAAGAACCCAGAAGTAAACGAGAAGTTGGAAATGCAGGGAAAGTCTGTGTGTATGTGTGAATGAGGGGCAGAGGAAAGAAAAAAACATGAATATATATATATGTTATGTACGTCGGTGGTGCAGAGGTAGAATTCTCACCAACCATCCATATGGTCCCAGGGTTCAATCCCTAGCCGAAGCAACCCAAAGCCTGGCAAAGATGGAAGCTTGAGTATGAGGCTAGTAATCATACCCAGGAGGAATAAACCCCCTGCTACAGAAACTTCAAACCCTATGTTCCACTCAGAGCTTAAAAGAATAAAATTTAAAAAATGCATATATACATAAAATAAGCAGTAAAATTTCTACTAATGAAACAATAATTCAAAAGAAAACAGGAACATAAAAAAAATATTAATCAATAGTTCAATCATATACATATATACAGGCAATCAATTTTTTGTCTTACAAAAGACAATCGAATAATGCATGTAAACAACACGAAGAGATAAACAGATATGGAACAGAAGTGCTTATTTGATATGCCTTCAGGTTTAGCAGTCCACTTAAGCGTGGTAAGCATGCAATCATGCCTACGCATAATTACTATGAACACATACATACACACACACATACAGAGAAATTACTTTCGCTTAGTTAAGTAGTAGTGGTAAGCAAGCAACCAATAAAAAGATAGTTGACTCCCTTTCTGACTATTTGTTAATAATGCTTTACATAGGTAGGTGGGTATATGCGTTGATGAGCGAGCGAGTGAGCAAGCTAGACAGAGAGAGAGGGGACAGGGCATTATCAATCGTATTGCGTAACAAAACAATTCCCTTTTTACTCTCGCTCTCTCTCTTTAAGGGATTCAGATACACAAACCAATGAACAACAATAATAGTAGTAGTAACAATACAGCAAGTATGAATGAAACAATTGTGATACGGAAGAGAGATAAAGAGAAAAGTGAGGAGTAACAACAGCAACAACAACAACAATCAAATTGTTCAAATCAAAACAACAGGTCAACTAATTCCTCATGTAAGAAAGAGTAAAGGTAGAGTTCTAACATGTTTCTAATTCAATTTCGATTATTTTTTTTTTCATTAGCTTGACCGACATGTCGACATATCAACTCCTAGTACGGGATTTGGTGGTTTGGTGGATGATGACTAGCAGTGGAATCCAGAATACACATTCCATCTTGTTTGGGAGTCATCAGCTAGATGTACCTGGAAGAGGCAGTTTCTGTTGCCCAAGCGGTCCAGTGGATAACGCTTTGGTGTCTGAAACGGTAGGTACTAGGTTCAAGTCACAATGGGGACACCATTACTCACTAGGATATGCAGGTACATCTAGTTGAAAAATCCCAAACAGGACGGAATGTACGTCTTGGATTCCACTGCTGATCACCGTCCATCAAATTACTTATAGTTTTGACTTATTGCAAAAGAAATGGAGACAAATTTGAGGAGACAGACAAACGACATTTCCTCAGTTGTAACCCCAAAATAGTCAGTTGTTACTACTATTATAGGTGATAATCCAATAGTTTATAAAACAATATATGTTTTACAAAAATAAAAGTAAACTGAGTGATAAACAAAATTGATTGTTATCATCAAAAGAGAGGCTAGATAACTACAAATTACTTCCATACATGACGTCACATTCAGACTATGAGAAACTATATATACTTCCATCAAAATTTAATTGTCACGTTATTAATCAGCATCTATGACACAGTGGTTAAGTTTAGTTGCTAAGATAAATGCGGCCTATAATAATCATTCGATTATGAGACTGCCTGAGACAGTCTCGAGTTTGCAAACTGTTATCAACCTAGTTGAATGATAAATACAGGTGAAATGAAAATCTGGACCACGTCAGGATTCTAACCGGTGCTCCCTGTCCACCATTAGCATAGCGTTATAGCAGTTGAGCTTAGAGACTCCGGTAATATATATATTAAGGGAAATAAAGACATGGTTTGGTGAATCAAAGACCAACCAGTTCAGCAGCTCACTGGAGTGATCACGAGTAATGCCCAGTTGTCATGCAAATAAATGATAGGTTAATATCTGCCTATCATCACCCTGGCTACCCAGATAATTCACACTTAAATGGAAGAGAAGGTGCAGATTATTGATTAATAATAAAACGACCTGAAACATTCTTAGGGTCAATGGGCTGTTAATTATTTATTCCCAGTTGTGCACACTGATTCTCTATCCTTTTCTTTGTGACCCTTCTAATCTATTTTTTAATTACATGTGCTACTGAAACAACAAATGCAAGAAGATAAAGTAAACCACTGATTATTTAATATTTCACATGATACAATCCATGTAAGTAGCTTCTTTGTCCTCAGTGTCTCTTAATGAAAAGGACATAAGCTAGATGGAAAAAAACCAAACTTCTTGAGTATAAATTTTGTTTTACAAATGTTTATTGTCGAATAGAGGAGTAGGTGAATAATTGAAATTTTGAGATAGTATGATTAGGTGACTTACTGTTGCATTTGTTAAAAATACACGTAAGGAAAACAGAAAACAAATACTTGCAACCATCGTGTTCCATTATATCACAGCAAATGTACAAAGTGCTAAAATATTCCAAGACTTGAGAATTAATCTGATGCCCACGAATTACTGACTACAGGATGAAGCTCCCTGGACTGCTAATTAGAATTCATGATGAGCTGGATCCACCAGGTTGGGTGTAAGGACAAGTACTCACCAGTGACAGTGGTCACCTGTAACAATAAAAGTCGCGATTTGACAAAAGTTAGAACTGGGGGGCCACTGAACTCCGTCCTAGTCGCTGCATGATCAACGAGCTCGCCTTGCAATCTGAAGGTTCTGGGTGGGTAGTGCTGGACAGCTCCAAAGTAGGAGGAAACAACTCTCCAGTATTCACTGTTATTCAATGGTTCTCTAACTGATATTAATCCGTGAACAAACTTAAAAACTGTATCTCAGCTTTATATTGTTGGAAGTATCAAGTCAAAAGGGTTTCTTAACAGGCTTCTTCATACAATTTACAACTGACAAATGCTTAAGTTTTGCTGACATCGATTGTGAAAACAAGAAAATAAGTTCTATATAGAAATTACGACATAAAATTCACGATCAATCAGTGAATGGTCATGTCTAAAACGCGACATCTGCCCGGCGAGATAGTTTTGAGAAATAGAGTAATGAATAATTGCTCAATCTTCTGTGAATAAGGACACCTCTCAACTCAATACATTGAATTAAATTCGATAAACAGATCTGAACCTCCTTAGGATTAGACATATAATGCACCACACCCCGACCGATGTACATCGACATGAACAAAACCTATTACACTAAGTCTTCTTGTAGATTGACTCCTACAGTCGAACATGCATACAACATAACATATTTTTGTGATTTCCTCTGCAAAAGAGAGTTCATAAGCAGTGACCATTTAAAATATAGAATTCTCAATTGTACAGCTTTGCTATTATGCAATGAGTATCAAGTTTACTTTTATCCTCAAAACAGGTTGTTACACTCAAAGATGACTATGCAGCATCTCCGCCATCCAGGTAAATACTAGTTTGTTTATATGGAACTTAACTTTTTTTTAAAAACACCTAGTGGATTCAAACTGTAACTAAACTGTAAAGTCTCAGTTTAAAAAAAATTTGAGCCAATAAATCTTACTTCGCACTGGCTGTCTGCTTAAAACCTGAGTTACCTAAAACTTCCATCTCTCTATTGCATATATTTTCTCTCGTTTGGTTTGTTTTAATCGATTAAGATATCACCTTTAATGGTCTGTTTACTGTTTCTATTATGCATTTCTTCTACTTTCTTCTCTTGCTTTGTGTGCTATATGGAGTGTGGTGACTTGAACTTCCGCACATATGTGCAAAGTTCTATGTCGAAAACAGACAAACAGACAGACGTGTTCCAGTACATGAGATAACTGTTCTTCAGTTATATCTTTGGAGCTCAAAATGTACTTATGAACATATTACAATTGGCGTGGATTTTCTTCAAGGATACAAAGCAGATATATCATAATGGAATGGTTTGTACATAAACCTCAGAGATCGTTATCACAGGATATACTGTCAATTATTATTTTACTTGAAGATATTGTGTGAAAGGAAAACACCATGCAATAAACTCCTCTGAGAATTCCAGAATAAAGATGCTATTATTATTATAATTATAATTATTATAATAATTATTATTAATTTTAAGCGCTTTAATGATAACAATTTTAACAATGGATGTATTTACTTAGTTTAGAGAGATACAAACGGACATGGAATAATATGAAAGAAGAAAATAAAACACATAAATGACTCACCTGATAAGGCAATTGATATTCATCTGGTCCAAATAAATTATGCACATAACATCGTCGTGTAACTTCCCAAAACACTAAGCCTAAACTATACATATCAGCTTGTTTAAATGCTTCAGGACTTGTTAAACGTATTGTATTATCTAATACTTCAGGTGCCATATACCGTTTTGTACCAACACGATCTGAGTGTAGATTAACTTCTAGTGCGGAATTCATTGTTGAATCTAATTTCAGTGCAAAACCTAAATCGCCAATACAGCATTCACCATCCATTTTAACTAGTATATTTCGAGATTTTAAATCACGATGAGCAATAGCAGGTTTACCCTGAGAGAGAGAGAGAGAGATAGAGAGAAAACAAAACAACCCCCCAAACAAATCAATACATTAACATGTACAAATTGGATATTTTTAAAAACATGCGAAATATATAGTTGCCAAATTTACATTTTATACAACACGTTTTTTTTAAATTAACAAAATAAAGAGAGATTAGTTAGAACAAGGCTGCAGTATCCTTGTGCGTCGGTGGCACAGTGGTTAGGACTCTCGCCGACCATGCACATGGTCCGGGGTTCGAGCCCGCACCGACGCACACCTGATATCTATAGTCGGCCTGCAAAATTTGGGCTACCGATATCCATTCTGAAAATTCCATACTTGTACCGAAAATACAGTGTGGAATCAAGCTTTAAATCAATATATATATATATATATATATATATATATATATATATATATATATATATATATATATATATATATATATTGCCTTATACAGGCATCTTACTCTTTCCAATTCACCTACTAGAGTTATATTGCCAAAAGACGTGTTTCAAATTTCTTCCATTTTTATACTTTAGTTTGTAGAGTTAGAAAATTGTTGTCAGCTTTAGGTGACAGCAACTTTCTGAGAGAGAGAGTGAGAGGACAGAGGTGATGAAGATAACTGACCAATAACAACAAGCACTAATCACTATCAGTGAGATAAATATCAGACGTTGTAGGGCCTATACAACATGGTATGCTATAGCCACTTAGATGAACTAAGTAAATGAGGAATTGACATGGACAGAACGAGTAACCAATCAGGAAATATATCTTCTTAATGATTTGTAAGGCTTTCTTTATTTATCGAATGATGAATACCCTTTGTCTGTTTGAGTGGGTATTCCCTGCTCTACTTGCCTTCTGTCGTGCTTTGGAAAATAAGGGTTCTAAATTGAATTACGTCAGGTTCATCAATTTAGAAACCGACTTTTCTATCGAAATAATTACTCAAATTACCGATCCACAACTCGTAGTATTGTAGAGGACTAATAGTGTTTATGAATCTTTAATTTCTAAAGCACGGTAGAGGGTAAGTGGAGCAAGGAACACCTAATCAAACAAATGGAAGGGCATTCATCATTAAATAGGTAAAAAAAGCCTTACAAATCATTAAGAAGATATAGTTCCTGATTGGTTACTCATTCTATCCCTGTCAATTCCTCATTTCCAGCTGCCAGACTGATCCTATTTCACAACACTGTGTGCTCATTAACCCAGTCAAAAGTAGATGAGTACCCTACTCACGTCAACTCCAACTGCATTTACCAATTCACGTGCACCTGCGGAAGCAAGTACATAGGAAGGACTGAGAGGAGAGCATCTACTAGATTTTCTGAGCACATTCCTAAGAGCCTCCATACAAAAGGAAGAAAAGTGTTATCGAGTGCAATCGCCAGACATTTAATTGACACAGGACACACAGTAGAAATCAGCCATGCCTTCAAAATAATCAATACGCAAAGAAACCCATGGCTACTTCGTTTCGCAGAAGCCATCGCTATCAAGAGACTTCGACCAGACCTCTGTACACAGAAAGATAGTGTGACTAATCTTTCACTACCCTGGTAACCCTAATCCTATTTTATCTATTTATTTTTGTTTTTTGTTACTTACTTCACTATTCACCCCCACCCTCTTAAACTCTCCACCACATGTGTAAATTCACTCTGTTCTCTGACCTTGACCCTATAATATGCCTCGAACCAATCTGCGTTTCCCAATAGTAATTTGAACTCTAAACCCTCTTATCTAATTCCACTATATATAATTACTTTTTTTTGGACACTGAATAATCTGTCTACCTACATCAAATTCCGGAATTATGTTTCTTATACCTTCTATTTATAACTCCAAGTAATTATGAAAAAGTATGTTCCAAAACCTTTTTGAAACTTATAATTTGATTTTGTTTAGGATGTATGCAGTTGATGAGTATCCACGAAATAAAACGAGCTCGTATTATCCTGCGAACATGTTCCTTCTTTCTCTCTTCAAACTAATAAAGGGAACCGGTTGTATGAAATTCCTCATTTACTTAATACATCTCAGTGGCCATAACAAACTACCTTGTAGAGGCCCCATAACGTCATTCCTTGGCAACTTGGCGCGTCATCAAGAGCATTCTCAACAGGCCACTCCAGACTTTTATCAACAACTGTCTGCGCTCCATACTGAAGATCAAATGACCAGAGAAAATTAAGAATAACAAACTCGGAACGAATCAATTAGGAATCTATCGATCAACAAATACACCAAAAAAATGGAGATGGATAGGACATAACGGTTAGGACGCTCGCCGACCATCCACATGGTCCGGGGTTCGATCCCCAGCCGATGCACTCCTTTACCTCGCTAAGCCAGAAATAATCCTAGTAAAGAGGAAAGGTTGGACATGAGGCTAGCAACTCCATCCTGTGAAATAAACACTGCTACAGAAGCTTCAAGCCACTAGCCTGAAGCCCTATGTTCCACTGGGGAACGTGAAGGAAAAAAAATAGGACACACGCTGAGGGGGCCGATGAGTGATATCACACGCCAGTCATGCCCTTAAGTGGAACCCGAGTGGGAAACTGAGGGTTGGACTTCTGAGGATGACATGTAGGGAATCGTGTGAGGAGATGAGAACCTGTGAGTAATCGTGGGGCCAATTAAGGGGGATTACAGAGAACAGGACAGAGTAGAAATGTGCTGTTGAAGCCCTATGTTATACTCGGAACCCAAGTGAATAATATATATATATATATATGCAAGTTAATTTAGTATAAGCATAGGATTCGAACACTTTGGTAGTTCTTTTCTGTAATATACCTGACCTAACAGTCCATCTGTTTGGAATTCAGTAGATTTTTTCGCTGCATAACCAGTTTTCTAATTTTACATTATGAGGAAGATGAATTAGCAATGCTGGCAGCAGTATCAAATCACACGTTATTCTGAAAATCTAGCTATCAGCCTAAATTTGATGTATACGAATCCGCCAATATACCACCACCTAAGTAACAAACCCTTGTTTAATCTAGATGTAGAACACTTAAAGGTTACCTCTCCTTCACTTTATCGTAAATACTAGTGATTGAATGTCCAGTTTATAAATTTCTTGTTTTAATTCACGTTGAGATTGAATTTAGAATTACATTGATGAAATAATAAATTTGAAAGTGAATTAACCTGTTACCCTGCCAGAATTAAAGTCATAGTCACACAACTAACTGACTATTAAACCGAAACTACCCTGTCATCCACAATGAACATAAATCAACAAGTGTAGTCGTAAAAGCCAATATTTATTTATAATAATCACAACCCGAAAATTACATCCGTTTACACGGAATGCTGGTTAATGAAATAAATAATACACATAAGCCATCACCTATTGTAATGAATGATGCGAAACAAAGTTAATGCTCAGATAAATGTGTAAAACTTGGGCACTATGGTAGTATGTAATTCTACAATCACTTGTTTATTAGATACATCACACGATGAAACAGTATTATTTACTGGATGATATTTCGAAAACAATTTATTACTCATAATCACATCAATCAATTATTAAAGTAAATGCTCACTTGGGTCCCAGTGATCTCCATGTGTAAATGTGCTAAGCCATTAGTGATAGAGGCGACAGCACGTACAAGCGCAGATGGTAAAAGGCAATGCTGCTGTAAAAATTCGTATAATGATCCCAGAGGATGATAATCCGTTATAAGCCATAACTGAGTTGACAATCCAGTATCTTTATTGTCCGCTGCAATAAAACCCAGAATGTTTGCATGACGCAGCATCACTGTTTGATAAATGTCCGTTTCCCTAAAATAATAAAGGACTTCGAATTATTATACGGCTAAATTAATACACCCTAGAACGTAAGGAACCAGAACATTCATATATGTTGTTTTGCAATAGTGACAGACCCTTAATGTAATACATTAAACACAGTTATTATAATACAATGAACACGTTCAACCTACACTGTAGATAGTGTGGTAGTAATATTTCAACATTTTGAGTGATATATCAGTAAACAATACATTTCCTCACCACCTTGTTCTCAGCTACTCTTGTCAATAGACAGAACTAAATGCCTCCTCCAAGTAAATGAATACAGTAAGTGTCAGACATCAGTACATTTTTGTCCCAGAGTCTGCCTGCTTTTTTTTCGGTTTGCTTCTCCAGAAACCCTAAAATCTTAGATACAACATTAGTCAAGTTTATACTTTCTGTGATTATCACGGCGAAACGTCTTCTATGAGCTGAAATGAACGTTGATAATTTTAGAGGAAAACGAACTACATTGCGAATTACATCATTTGATATACAAATAACTTCTAACCACAAGAAACAAATGCTCAAACCTCTTACAGTAGTTTTTTAGGAAAAGATTTTATCTTTCTGTCTGTTTTCAACATAGGACTTTGCACATATGTGCGGAAGTTCAAGTCGTCACACTCCCTCCATGTACCACACAAAGCAAGAGAAGAAAGAAGAAATGCATAACAGAAACAGTAAACAGAGCTGTGAGACAAAGGAATAGGAATAACGAAGAACAATATAGTTTCATTGGAAATCATAAGTCACAAGGAGCGGATGCATCTGCGCTAGCCATTGAGAACGATTTTCAGCCACGTCACCAATTGTTTCCAACCATTGGTTTTTACTGTCCCTAGGGCCCCAACCAGGAAGTCTACACCTTCCTACGTGGCTGGCTTAAACTAACTGTTGTAGATTTCATTGACTGGTGTCATGTTTTTGTTTGACCTCCGGTAGCTCTTTTCCAGCCTGACCCTATATCAGCTAACATTGCCCATTGTCGAGGAAGGCCATGACTAGGCATACGTAACACATGTCCTAACCATCTCAGTCGATGTAATTTCACTGCCTCGTCTATTGATTTCTCCTCCCACCTAACTAGCACTCGACGCCTAACCTCAATACTGCTTACCTTATTATACCACTTCACACGGGAAATATAACGCAGGCACCTATGATTAAAGACAGCTAATCTTTTCATGTCTTCCACTCTCAATGGCCAGGTCTCACAGCCATAAAGGAGGACGGAGAAGACTGATGAGCACTACACTCGCCCTTTGGTTGATAGTCGGATATCTCGTCTACCCCAAAGTCGGTGTAAACTGGCAAATGAGAAACTAGGAAAAGACTTATTGTGTATCCTGCTTACGACGAGTATTTACATTAGGATTTTCTAAGCCTCAAAGCATATAAATGTGACTCAGTCTCCAAGCAGAGTGTCAGATTACTTTCTGAGCCATTTATCCGTACACATATACTGAAGCATTAATTTTTAGTGTAGTCTGTAGCTATAATTTTGTCCTCTTGTGAAGATTATATTTGTAGATTACCTCATTTTGGTAAGTGCCTCCCGTGATAAACAGTAACTGTTATAAACCGTCTTTATAACTGGTGCACAACAGCTGCTTTACATAAAGGTGAATCACTATAACTAAGAGCTGGTAAGCATCTTAGTTTAGGAACATGGCAAAAACTTTCTTGATTATTTACTTCCTAACAAGTTTTTGTTACCTATCGAATGATTATTGGTTGCACATATATACAAGTATCACATTGGCCACATTTACTTAAGCAGGTTATAACCCCCGAAAATTCGGTTACCACCCAGTTAAACAATGATGTCAGAGTAAATTGTCTAGCTTCTATGCTTTCCATCAGTAATTTATTTAACCTAAGTAACTTTGGTTTCCGATACTAAATGATATCTTAAGTTAGTTTATGACGACTCCTCTCTCTCCCTTAACCGTGAAATCAATCTCAATAAAACCATCTCACTCATCAGTAGAACAAGTGCCGAGCAGCTAAACATCTCTTAAAAGTCGATGAAACCTCTTCGATGTATTTTTGCTTTTTATTCAAACGTTACACCACAACTTGGATTAACATCCCCAGTCAATGGCAATTTTTGATTAGTTCTCTTTGGTAGGAGTTAATGGTGATATAATCTTTGAGTACTGTTTAATTTAATCTTCATAGCCTTTTGTGATATGAAATACAAGCGTTTATGACGGCAGTTAATCCTTGTTCACACTTTGTTACTGTAGTGCATATATTTGAAGTAACCACTAAGTGATTACAATAATGTACTCTTTTAATGGAATTTATTAAGTTGTTGGAAAATTTAAACCAAGGCAAGCTACCAATCACGTCAACGTTAAAAATAAACCATTGGCTCCAACAATTTTTGATCAATAAACACAATAATAATGGTTTTATTCTAAACATTGCTTTTGATACAATGTGGATTTTCAGCATACAGTACGGGAGTACATCTAATTTTCTCTTTACGCAGTACAAGGGGCATTTACATTGATAATACTGTTCAATTATATGAACATAAAATTAAAATTTAGGTGGAAATATTAACTACAATATATTAATGAAAGAGAATAGAAAGTTTCGTCAACTTAATGTTTCTCAAAAAATTAGTAGTGTCATACCTTACACTTTTCTCACCACATAAAATGGGTACCAAATAAGGTATTGTACAGTCTTATACGTAGTCGTCCGACCATAGTCTTCTATAGTTGCATCTAGTCCTACCTGATAAGATGCAAGGGAGTTGTGTATAAAGAGAATGTTTAGGGTACCATAAGATAATATACGCCAATTTCTTGCATGAGTTCACGTACCTATCTACAACAGTATTAACAAGTTTGTTTACTGACACTGGTCAAGAAAGACTAAGGGGAGAAACAAAGAATGGACAACACATGAATTAACAAACTTATAAAGTAGAGACTGTGATACCAGATTGTCTTCAACATTAAACGAAGTATGGTCATAGAAACTAACACGATTTGGGAAGACCTCGAAAAATCAGGAGAATGACACACCCCCAAGATATTTAACATTCAACTTAGTTTCCACTTCAATGCCTTCTATGATACAAGAATCATGAGAGCGAACCAGTTCAGGTAATTTTCACTTGCTTCTGAAGCGAAATTAGCAACCCGTCATTTGAAGGGATTTAGCCTAAGACCACTCAACAAAGACCACTGACTAATTTCTAGTAAACGGTTTTTCATTTTGCAACGATGTGATTACGAAGTGATCAGTATGGATACAAATTATCAGCATACGTAACGACATCGGCTTGTTCAGAATGAGACAAGTCATAGAAGATAAAAACGAAAAAAGAGGAAGAGCTGCACTTTAAGGGACACCAGCTAGAGTCAGTAAAGCAGTGGAAGACTTCCCACTATTTACAGTGTACTGGCTCCTATCAGAAGAGTGCAACCATTTATTTACCCAGCAACCTTATGTCGCAGTAAGCTTATTTAACAAAAGAGGCATAGGTACAGAATCAAAAGCAGCCTTGTAAAGAAGGAAGGTACATCGATCAGACTCAGCAGCTCTACCTAAACTGGACACAATATCATGATGTTAGACCACAGTGGCATCTAAATTCTACCTACCAAGTTTGTAAACAAACTGTTTAGGATCATTAAAAACTTAAAATGAAGGTCCAAGGTTAAGTAAAAGCAGTTTTTGTATTATTTCTAAAAATGGTGAGGTAATAGCAACATATCTAAACTTAACACTTGGTCCACTCGACGATTTAGGTATAGGAACAATTTTAATTTTTTTAGAAATAAAAGCCAAGTACCTTATTGGTTGGACTAAATGAATACAGACGAATGGGATCCCAAACGGTATTCAGTATACATTTTTAATACTCAAAAACATCGACTGTGTACATTGCAGTAAATAAACAAAGTGATGCGAGGCAGCTGTATAGTGAGGCGAAATGTGCCTTGACTTCAGATACTGAGTCATTCAACCATGAAACAAATTTTAGGATCATTGTGCTAATGTGAACAACAATGAAAAATTGCACCAATTCGGAATCTGATATGACATACTGGGTGTTGAGACTAAGTGTACTTAAACCACCTACTTTTAAGCATCTAAACCATATTTGTTACGCATTTGCTGGAACAATTTATTTTGATTTTCTAGGTATGCTGGGATTAATTTAAGCAGTTTTATGATAAACTACACAATTAAATATTACGCTTATCTAATACAAATTATGAGGGGAAGCAACACGAACTTACCGGAACCATGAGCGCTCGTCTCTGCTAGAAAATATCTTGGCTGCCACTTGATCACCTTGCCAAACACCTCGCCATACAACACCATATCGACCTTCACCAATACGTTCCTCTAACTGAACCTGACGAGCGACTGTTCTCTGTACAAGTAACGGCTTTCCTGAACCTGATCCACTACACGTTTGATCAAGCAAGTCAGCAGGAATAGTACTGGTAGTAGGCATAGCAGAATTTGACCATGTACTAGTAATAGCCAAAGCACCAGTTGGTGAACTGGAACAAGAATTGATATTTCCGAGAGCAGCTCCTACGACGTTGCCACCAAAATGACTCAAACTACTGGTACCACGACTACTTATACCAGCAGAAACAGCACATGGGTCGCTGGAGTATAGTTTGATATTCCCAGGATAAGCATTGTTTGCCACTGCAGTGTCGGCAGCTTGCACAGATCCTTTAAAGTAATGGTTCTCTATACTACCTGACGTCCATAAGTGATCAGATGTATTTCCGTGCTGAGAAGCGATCATAGATTTTTGTCGAACTACTCAATTAGAAATCATAAGGTTTTTTTAAGCATTTGCACGATGAATTTCGTAAAAAAAAAGTAATAGAATTTCACTTAGTAATAGAATGATAAAATGGCCCAGTTTCAAGCACTCAGTATCAGTAAAATCTTCGAAGTGCTAAGAAGACTTAAGCAAACCTATGCTACCTCATATAATCGACAGAAATTTATTTCGATAAGTTTGGAAAAGGAAATCAAGTTATCTGGTGGGTTGTTTCCCTATAAACTTTAATTCAATCTGTTAAGTGTCAGACAGGTAGCTCCATTTGTGCAGTAGGGTTTGATGACTGGTTGAACTTGCAGTCGTAAGACTTTTCATCCAGACACTTAAGCATTTCACTTATTATTAACTATGTTGACATGGCGCAACTATGCAACAAGCAAGGGTCACAAGAAATCAAATTTTCATACACTGGCAGATGCGTAAAGAGAAATTATAGCAGTTAAAAAAGTCTGTTTGGTGGAAACTAATCAAAGATAGTTGGGAAGACTGTTGCTGTTGGTTTAGAGTTTACCCACCAGGCTACGGAGCTGATCATAGCTTGCAGCCTGATCAAGATGTTCTGTTGGTACTATATATACGACAAGCCATTTACCAACATGTCATTACTCTGCTCAACTACCGATCAATTCATGTATCTTTTTAGACAAATAACTAGGACATAAATTAACGTAGCTGTTACAGAAAATCTACTAGCTTGTTAAAAAAACACTACAACTAGAAAAATTTAACTAAAAATTTAGTGACACTTTATTTCAAAAGTCAAAGCAACTTACTTGATTTCCTTCTCAATAAAAAGTAAAACGTGCCAGACACTATACAAAGAATAATACAGACGATAGTTAACAGGGCGACTGCTACGGGATATGGATCCGAAGGCTTGTCTTTAACAAGTAACATGAGTTCCTCTGAAGTGGGGATATTACAATGCTTCTCGGAACAACATCTAATATCACTCGTTCCTCCACACGTGATAGGAGTAAAGAAATTATTTTTGGCACACCTGTGAAATCATCAAAGCTTGGACAACTTACGTAAGGTCATAAAATTGTTTAGGCTCCCTCTTAGGTTCATTAACAAAATATGAGTGACATGAGTAATTAGGGCCTGGAGTACAGCAGTAGGGACGCGTTCTTATTTTATGATAATATGTAGTGTCTTGGCCCTTATCCTCCCAGTTGGACAACAGTATGTCAATATACCGTGTCCAATTTTTCTGGTGTTCTTCAGAAAGCGGTCCGCACGGTCTGCAGACTGATCCCTTTGTTTCATGACACAGAAAGAGCATGCACTCCATTAACAAGACAGAACAGTCATTTCTTGGCGGTATATTAACAACCTTGAAATGTTGCAGTACATTGATCTCAAAAAACTACGTCAAGGTATTTCAGTTTCACATATAGTTCAAGAAGTAGGGCTGGGTGACTGGTTATATTATATTAATTTTGGGAATTTTCAAGGCACCATGCGCTTGATCTTGGCTTAAGATAATCAAATCTTCAATGTGCTATTCAGAACCTACTCAGTCGAACCTCTGTATTGCTTCATATGAGTTTGTATTTACATATATGCTGGGCTCATTGCTGAGTAAATTATCTGTACCTCATGTCATTGCGACCATTCCTGTAGTTCTTTGCTGGCGAAATGGATACAACTTTAATTAAAGTTTGTTTTCTGATTATCTACGGAAACACACATAGCATACACAAGGCTTCCTGCCGATTGCCCCAACCATCTCATGCACAAGGCTGTCAACTTCATTGTCTATTTGAGTGCAATATTTTGACTCGAACGGCGTTGAAGAATAAACTTCTACTGTATGTTTCAAAATATGTTCAGTTCTTAGAAAAATTAGCTTATGGGGAGGTACCGACAAACAAACCTTATCATTATATATCTTGTGAAAAGAGGAGAAGGAGTGTTTAGGACCCTGTCTGGCCTCGATGACCATCTTTGCTCAGCGACACAACATGGAACGATTCCTGGGATGCAGTGGTTTGTCTCTCGAAAATTCCTGAAATTTCGAAAACAAGGGCCTTGTTATGCTTTTGTCTCTTATCGTATTCCTTTAGGTTCAGAGTGACCGAAACAGGTTGGATTCAGGAGAAACAAGTCATGTATTGGTCAAATCGTTACACTACGGATCATCATTGAGCAAAGCTTGGAATGGCAGTCACCTCTCTATCTCAACTTCATCGACTTTGAAAAGGCCTTTGGCAGCGTCGAGAGGTGATTAGGAAACTACTTCGCTACTACGGGGTCCTATCGACAATTATACACCTCATCCAACAATTGCGCGACAATGCTGCATACCAAGTAATCCACAATGGTAAACTTACGAAATCCTCTGCAGTGAGAACGGGAGTGGGGCAAGGCTTCCTTCTATCGCCAATGATCTTCCTGATTTTAGTAATTGGATAATGCGACAGAAAACGGGAGATGAGGAAAAAGGCATAAAATGGACTCACACAAAAAACTTGGGTGATCTTGACTTCGCCGATGATACATATCTGATTTCCCACAAACTGGAAGATATGCAAGTGAAAAACAAAAAGTTGGCAGAAGAAGCATCCAGAGAACATAGATAAAACAGAGATGATGAAGATTCCCGGTCAACAGCAACAACAACAACAGACAACAATCAGCCAGCATAAATGGGAGAAACCTGAAAGAAACAACCTCCTTTACCTACCTACCAACCTGGAAGCATCGTTTCAACTACAGGGGGAACTGACGAGGATATCAAAGCAAGGATTGGGAAGGCAAGGCAAGCTTTCATTATTCTCAAGTCTGTGTGGAGGTCAACAGCACTCAGCATCAAAAATAAGATCCGAATTTTCAACTCCAATATGAAGTCAGTCAGTGTACTCACTATACGGATCAGAGACTTGGCGCGTCATAACGAGCATCTCAAACAAATTACAGGCCTACAATAACACTTGTCTTCGCTTAATACCGAAGATCAGATGGCCAGAAAAGATCAGCAACAGGGATCTCTGGTAGTGAGCGTACCAACCAGGAAACGGTTGTGAAACAAGTAGGCGGAAGAAAGTGAGATGGATTGGCCATACTCCGAGGAAACCATCAAGTGACATCACTAGACAATCCATTGCTCAAGTGGAACCCGACCGAAAGAGAAGTGGCGAGTTGGTCGTCAGTATGAGGGTGATTCGGAGGAGGTCATGTGAACATGAGATGAAGGTGTGTGGGCAGGCTTGGAGCGGGGTGAAAACGTTGGCAGAAAACCGGACGCAACGGATACGCACGGCTGAAGCCCTATGTTCCCCTAGGAGTTACAGGAAATAATGATAACAACTAGGTTCAGAGTAGAAAACGGGGATTCAAGGTTCAGTGTCAGTGGTTCTATTTTCACGATGTGGGGCCGCTAGCCTCACACAACTTCTTGGTAGTACTTGGACCAGATCAAATCTTCAAGTAATGGATCTTTCTAATAACTTGTGATACATCTGATTTGTAGTTTGCTATTTCGTTACTCAGTTTATTGAATAACGTTACTTTACACTATTTTAGTTGATTGTGAGATTTTCTGCTCCACCTACTTTTCTGTCTGTAACAGAGTGGCCCCGAAAATTAATTTTATTTCTACCATGATACATTCGTACTACAGAGGCTAATTCCGAATCATCTCGTAGTAGCTTTCCTATGTGTTATCGGAGAATAATATTTTCTGAAGGGCAGAAAGGAACATACGGATATTCTGTAAGAATTACTGATGCACTGTCATCATTCACGGAATACATGGTGGAATTTGAATGCTGTAGGATTTCTATGATCTAAATCATGTCACAGAAGGTCCTGGTAAAGCCTGCAGATAAATATTTGTTTTGAGTGGGTGGAAGTCACGCGAAGTATCTCAACAATATCTACGTTTGCTAGACACATAAGTAATGTCTTTGTCAGAGGGCTGTAGACTTCGTGAATGACATTTTAACTCGATAACAAGTGTGACTTTAATCACTTGCAACAGGTATTCAGAGACAGCTGTCTTGTGACAAAACTGCATCTTGAAGTATACGACAAATCTGAAATTCTCTTTCTTGACATAAAACCAACTAAAAGAACTGCCTGGGAACACAACGGATGTTTGTACAGGTGGATTCCGACTGAGGCAAAATAAAGATAATTGCATCAACTATAATATATATATATACTAATAATCAATGTGGTCAAATGAACAGATTGCCTTATATGAAAAGAGTGCAATTTTACAGGTATGGTGAAACATGACGTAATCTCATACTGTGAAGTGCCTGTATATTTGTAATGTGTCAGTGGCTAAAATAGTAGACAGCCGACATAAGTTGTCAAGACAGTGCTTCTTCAACGTAAAATGGTGAAGCCACCATCAAGGTAGGGCAAGCATCTATGGTCCGTTTTTATCTAAAGGTAAATGCATTTGACCGATTCCAAAACGCCACATTCACGCGTGATCCAGCACTATTTCAGGGAAAAGCATCTGTCAATGGACGTGAACACTGAGCGATTGTTTTTGGAACTGGTAGCCATTGGTGGGCAACTCGAAGGCGCGAATGGTTCGATCGTGTACAAGTTCGACGACGACGTACAAAAACGAATAAAATTAAACAAAAAATCTGTATAAAACGTTTGTTTGCAGACTTTTACTGATCTCCACCCTAATTGCTAAATAATATAACTTTCTTCTTACAAGACTGTCGTTTTAGAGTAAAAGTCGAAGAAAGTACATATTATTTATCGGTGCGAAGCGTATTCGCAAGAATAGGACCTTGGAGATAAGTTCCTTGAAAGCTTTTATTCATCTCTTCGTTTTCTAGAGCGCCTTCTCGAACTTCCAGCATAACATACTGTGTCTGAAGCCAGCAACTCTTTAAACACGCGTTATCAACGCAATTTGGATCCTTCGGTGACGTTGGATAATGGATAATGGCGACGCTGGACGTGCTACCGTGGAAGCAAACAAAAAGTAAGTATTGAAGAGTGGCCTGTTATATGTAATGATGTGTGTGATGCTATGCATGAATAGATTGATGTCCATGATTCGCCGTCCATGCATCAAAGAAAATTAAAAAATTTCTAAATTTCAAAGTCGGTGTTTCGATGGAAACCCAGCTGACTATCCACAGTTTGTAAAATAGTTTGAAGTCATGTTGAGTAGGTTAGCAATATATGATGAAATGAAGTTGATGTATTTGTTCAAATGTTGCACTGGAGTTTCCGTAGAGCTATACAGTGCTGTAAGTTTATGAATCCAAATGAAGGATATTCTGAGGCCATGAGTATCCTGCGTAAAATGTTTGGAAGGCCTTCGATGATTGTAAGGAATGTATTCGAGGCTGTTTAAGGTAATGGAAGTCCATAATGAGATGACTCCAAGGCACTCACTGAGTTTCTGGATAATTTAATGACTTACAAGAGTAGGTTGATTTCGATGAATTACATGAGCGATCTGAACTCAAGTTCCATCCCAGAGGTAATAGCGGGACGCCTACCTATTCGACTGCAAAGGAAGTGGGTGAAGATAAGCTCTCGTATAGAGGATGAAGGTATTGAGCCAAAGTTCGATGATATTCTGAAACCGGTAAACGATAGTGTCAATCAATCTATGAGTAAGTTTGCCAGTATATTGCATCCCACCCCCAGAATAGAGAAGTCTGAGAGCAAAACGCAATCATTTATGATGGACGGATTTCAGAGAAGTGGATATCGAGAAAGCTTTATGGTGTCTAGTAATCCATGTAAACTTAGTGAGTGTAACAGCTTTAGTGGGACATCCCCAACAGATAGGTTACAAGTTGCGAGACAAACTCGTTTGCTTTTTACCCGTTTGCAAGAATTGCATGCAAGGACGAACTGTGAATCACTGAGCAAGTTTAGTAGTAAGCTAAATGTGAAATCAGCGTCATCAAGTTTGGACTACGAATTGTGTGACGATAATGGTGCAGTGAAGAAGCCTGTAGTTGCAACTAGCAAGTCATTGTTGAATAGAGTGTCACAGACGACACCACAGTTTATGCAGGAGAAGAGAGTTACAGTTTCAGAGTCCAGTTCTGACTCCAAAAGTTTACAGGGTATTACTGGTCAGAGTAAAGGTATAAAACCTTTAAGGATTTGTGAGGAAGAACCCAAATTGTCTACTTCTGTTATTAAAGTGTTTGAAAATGATGAAGTCGACCAGACAGACGACGGTAAAGTGAATATTTGTGATAGTGATCGTGATAGTGCACTTCTGTCTTTGGTTGATCATGATGAGATGAGGGGAATGCCTACTACTTCTGAGTTGAACAAAGGTTGTGTACAACTTGAACGTGAAGTAGAATTAAGAGCAAATGCGGTGGTAGAAGGTATTGATATTCATGAGACC